TATATGTGTGTGTATGTTTATATATATATATATCCAAATACATATATATATATATGTGAATATATATATATATATATTCCTGTATATCTGTAACTGTATGTATGTATGTATGTATGTATATGTATATATATTATTATAAACATTTTGTCATTATATACTGCATGAATTTATTTAGTATGATGCATAAACATGTGTTCGCATATTTAGTGTGATCTGCCGTCAAGTAGTGAATCTCTTGCTGTGACAGTCTTCCTAGGTGCCAATTAAACACCAGACTTTCTACAAATACAGCAATGAATAGAAGGATAATCAGTATTCTGTTGAATTATACTCTTATTTGGCTAAACCTTGTGGGTGATATCAAGTGTTCATCCACAGGTGAATTGTGGCGTAGAAATGCCGTAGGTTTCCTCTTCAGATCGTTTCTAGTTTTTGCCCAAGTTGTTATTTATCTTAGCTTTTATATGGGAGTGGCAATGCGACTGGATTGATATGTTGGGCTTAGAAATACCGCATGAGCACGCACGGCTGAGCTCTATTCATTGTTCCGTCACTTTAGTATCACACACATTTGAATACAATTTAGCCTCGTCCTTCAACCACCCTGATCAATTATAGATGTCTAATGGCTGATGTGTTCTACTCTACGTATACGAGATAGGAGTTCACTATCAGAACTTAGGATTTCGTCTGCCATAGTTTGGGTTGAATATTGTTTTTAAACATCTGATTGGTTGAATATTGTTTTTATATATCTGATTGGCTGAAATTTGTTTTTATATATCTGATTAGTTGAATTATATATATATATAATTGGTTGAATTTGTTTTTATATCACTGATTGGTTGAATATTTCATATATCTGATTGGTCGTCTAAAGATTCTTCCTCCGTACAACAGCGCTTCGACTGGAACGAAGGGGGTCACCGGCTAGTATGCACTTGGAATGCTGATCGCAAACAAGACGAGTGGTTGGCCAAGACCAAAGGTGTTTCTAATGTATCGAGTGCTTGCCATTCTGGGACACTTCAGAACACTGGCCTTACACCCAGCGGGACTGTTGCGTTAGGTGAGGGTGCTGCGAACAAAGGCAAAGGCATAGGTAGCCGCACTACGGGTGTAGAGATTGGCGCCAGTTTGTTACTATCAACCAGTAGATCTATACAGATAGATGGGGGCGGCACCGATGCTGGATGTGCAAACGCCAACAGCACTATCGAGCGGGATGCGGTCAGTACAAGGGACTCTGGGAATATACCACCCAGCCAATCTAAGGAGATGGATGAGCACAATGTAAACACTGGTACAGTTATAACCAGCCATACTGTTGAGATAGATGAAGACAATGCAAACACTGGCAAAGGTATACCCAGCCAAACTATGGCGATAGGTGAACGCAGTAGAGAGACTACTACTACTACTAGCTGTGTCATTGATGTCGATTCATTCGTTTTCGAGGACGCGCCCTTGATTCAAACCGATTGCAAGGCTGAATTAGTCAGAGCTCATACAGAAGACCCAGGACAGACGCTAGCAGCACCGGTGATTCCACAGTCAGCGGAAGCGCACCAGCCCACGTGCAAGGATACAGTACCGATACCAAAATGCCAATCCGAATCCAGAGACAAAGTTAAAAAAGGGAGAACAAAGAAATCCAAGCACAAGGTTCCGAAGAATGATAGCGCAAGGCCATCAACGGGCCAGCCGACTTCCAGACCAAAAGTGGAAATGGGCCAATCAACGCCGAAACTTGAAGTGTCGGCGGGTGCGAAGACCTTGTCCGTTGTTTATGAGGCACAAGCAGAGCAGATAAACGATGCTGCTTCAGTGGCTAACCAATCGGCAACAAAAACTCAATCGCAAACGCACACGTACAAACGAATGTCAGATTCTGGGCAGTCTCCGGTAACATCTCCGCTGGGAGTGAACCAGTGCGCGCAAGAGACTTTGGCAGCGGCGGTGACCAAACGACGGCGAGTCAGTGCCGCTGGCGATAATCTCGCGGCGACTATAGCTGGAGTACCGGGAGGGCTATTGGATACTCACACACGCTTTACCCCACAGGCAGGGATTGATACAGGACCAGCCGCAAGAGAACATAAAGGACTGTATCTGTATGCATGCAAGCAGGGCGAGTGTCGGGCGAGCTTTGCAAGTATCAAAAAGCTCCTTGTCCACGAGGAAGGGCACGAGGATGCGAAGGTGTATGTGTGCCAATGGGGCAGGTGTGCGCAGAAGTTTGATATCAAGACTGGTTTAATGGCCCACGCCAAGTCCCACAAGGGCGTCCAGGCGTTCGAGTGCAGTGTTCCGAACTGCCACCGGATGTTTGCGAGTAAGCAAGCTCTGATAGCCCACACCAGGACACATCCTGGCAATGGGGCTGGTGCTGCTGACGGTGGCAGGAAGACTAATTCCGACTATAGCGGTGGCCAGATTAATTCTTCTTATAGTGGCAATCAGACTAATTCCACTGATAGTGGCAGCCTGACTGATTCTGTGGATAGTGGCTGCCCGAGTACTTCTGGGTCCGACGCGGAAGGGCATGTATCCTTGGCAACACAGAAGAGTGTGTCTGCCTTTGTCTGTCCCCAGACTGCGTGTAGGAAGAAGTGCGGTACTAGGAAAGCGCTTGCGGAACATGTAGATGCCTACCACGGGTCAGCCGAGTCTCTCCATATACAGACAACTGTGCATAATCACAACCCGCCCACCACAGGTATACCAGCCACTACAACACCGACCGACCCAGTAAACAACACACCTGTACCTGTAGAAGCCAATGATTGTGTGTATCTGTATCCGTGCACATGGGAAGGGTGCAGCCTCGTGCTCACCACACGCGTTGGTTTGCTGGCGCACTGTAAGAGTGTACATTGCACGGCCCGCCCGTACCCGTGCAAGTGGGAGAAGTGCGGAGAAGCGTTCAAGCGAAAGGAAGAGCTGTACGCACACGTGGAGGCCCATCTCAGAGTACCGTGGCATCGGTGTGCCCACGTGGGCTGTGGCGAGCGGTTCAAAAGCGAGGGCGAACTGAGCGCGCATGCGGCGGGCCATACGATTAGTCGGAAGAGATACATATGCACACAGAGTGGGTGTGGTAAAAGGTTTCTGGAAGCGGAGTTGCTACAGAAGCATGTGAACGCGTGTGGGAAGTATAGGGAGTATATAGCGCTCGATTGATGCATCTCTGAGAGGGGGCAAGAGGGTGGGTTAGAGTTTCTATGTACAGAACATCTCTATACTTCTATGAACTCTCACGAGAATTTCAGGTCACCGGAAACTGTGGAGATTGTATCTTTCTGGCCTTTAAGTACTCGGAAGAAAGCTCGAGGAACTGTGATTGGATGAGGATGTAGCTAAGCTGCAATCGACACATCAGAGTGCGCAATCCAGAATGTAGCTTCGCTCGTTGCAGTGGCTGTGGAATTGTTCGTGTTTCCCATGCGGACTTACGACAAGTTTGTCATTGCCAGACGTGCGATAAACAAGGCATTGTCAGGCGTACGACAAGCAAGTCATTGTCAAACATGCGACAAATATGTCATTATCAGCCGTACGACAAATATGGCATTATCAGACGTACGACAAATAAGTCATTATCAGACTTACGACAAGCAAGACATTGTCAAACATGCGACAAATATGGCATTATCAGACGTACGATAAATAAGTCATTGTCAGAAGTCATTGTCAGGCGTACGACAAATATGGCTTTATCAGACGTACGACAAATATGTCATTTTCAGACGTACGACAAATATGTCATTATCAGACGTACGAAAAATATGGCATTATCAGACGTACGAAAAATAAGTCATTGTTAGAAGCCATTGTCAAACAAACGACAAACAAGTCAATTTCAGGAGTATGATAAGCCATTGTCAGACGTGTGACAAGAATGTCTTTGTCAGACGTACAACAAGCAAGTTTTTGTCAGGCGTACGACAAATAACCCATTGTCAGACGTAAAATAAGTCATTGTCAGACATATATTTATATTTATATATATGTATGTATATATATACATGTGTATATATATATATAGATATATATAAATAAGTCATTGTCAGAAGTGTAATGTCATTGTCAGACGTGTAATGTCATTGTCAGACGTACAATAAGTCATTGTCAGACGTGTAATATGTCATTGTCAGGCGTGAGGCGTGTGATAAGTCATTGTCAGACGTACGATAAGTATGTTAATGTCAGGCGTACGAATTCATTGTCACGCATATGATAGGTCATTGTCAGATGTGTGACAAGTTCGTCATTGTCAGACGTACAACATGTAAATCATTGTCAGACGTACGATAAGTAAGCCATTGTCAAATGTACGATAAGTATTTCATTGTCCGAGAAGTGTGTTGATAGGCGTACGACAAAAAGTTATTGTCAGGCGTATGATAAAACAATTGTCATACGTGTGACGAGCCATTTACTATCAGGCTATGATAAGTTATTGTTAGACGTACGAATATCGAGGCATGGAAAAGTCGGCAGTTAAAGTCTTGCACGCCGAAAGTAGACAGTATGTCATAGAAAGGTTGACAGGGAGGGAGAGGTCCGACGAAATTTTCACCATACAAATTCTGAGTATATACTCAGTGTAATCAATGACTTTACCTGTCACAGAGTACTACTTACTCGTAGACACATACCTCAGTTGATTAGGTGTTCTGGCAGAGTACAGCTTACTCAATATAGATATATATATATACATATATATATATATATAAAATATGTGTCCATAGTATTAATACATTCTTCAGAAGTTCGCCGTGGCACATAACAGATTTTAGGTATATCACGATTTCCTTGGATTTAATCATATCAAAACCACTCGTACACATACACATCTACTATTTTGCAATCTCCCTGAAAGGTATTTATATTGCCTTTCTTCAAACAATTCTGAGCGAATTCATGAATACACCTTTCGGTTAACTTGAAAAAAACAAGTCGCATCTTAACAAAAAATAAATCTACGCCGTCGCCGTTGATCTGCCCGGTCGCGAGTCAGCCTGTTCGATTCCCGCCTTCAGTACGGGTGAATGTACCTGCTGCCATCTAAGAATATTTTGAATATCAAACGGAATGGAACCCCAACACACTTTATTATCGTGTTTAAACTTCAATCTTTGCTAGTGCGGTTTTGTGTTTTAATGTGTCCACTCTCATCGTTCGAAAAAGTGCCTACCTAATATCATTTCTTAGCATTCTGTACATCAGGCTAAATTGATGCCGAAATAATATGACGATGTCGCCTTTCTTCCGCGCAGGTGCAATTGTATGTATTTCATAGTGATCTGTATAGTGAGCTAAATAAAACTGACCTACCATCAAGCTCCTGTGTGTGGCTTGTACAGGTAAGGTCCAGTATATCGTATGCACATACCAGCGTTTGCAATCGTTTCGGCGATAAGTCTACGGGGACGCTTCTCCATGCTGCAGCATAGTCGATCTGGTGTGAACAATACCATTATGTACCACTCTCGCGAAGATTCGCACTAAGCTACAATCGGCCACGCATCGCGCCAGAAGCTCAGCGATTAAATGCATGTATTTAATAAACATAGCTGTTTCATATCGAGTGTTTATGTACAGATGGAGAGATATATATATATATATATATATGCTATCTATAAATAAATATGTATATATATATATGGTCTATATAACGCGTAAAAATCACACTATCACACGATACTTAAAACGCATACGTATGCATATATATAACAAATATGCAAGCATATA